TGTGTGTGTGTGTGTGTGTGTGTGTGTGTGTGTGTGTGTGTGTGTGTGTGTGTGTGTGTTTTGTGTGCATGTGCAGATAGGGACAGAGTTTCTGCGTGGCGTATCTGGAGGTGAAAGGAAGAGGTGCAGCATCGGGATGGAGCTCATCACCTCTCCCTCTTTGCTGTTTCTGGATGAACCGACCACCGGACTGGATTCTAACACTGCAAACTGTATCATCAACCTACTAAACAGGTACAACACAATTAGTAATTACTTCTACATTAGAAAACACATACTACGTATACGCATAAGATACAAATTACAACTGAAGCATACAATGCTGCTGAAGATGGCAGGTGAATCAGCAGCACCTTCACCATCTACTGCTGTCTTTGTGTTTTCTGTAACAATATGAATGCAATCAAATTCCTTATGTATGTCCAGGCTGGCCAGAAGTGGTAAGACTGTGATCTTCTCCATCCACCAGCCGCGCTACTCCATCTTCAGACAGTTTGACCATCTGACTCTGATGCATAAAGGGGAGGTGGTGTACACAGGCGCAGCAGCCCAGGCACTGGAATACTTCACAAACCTCGGTATGTGTGTTTGCTATGAAAAGTGTAGTACCTTGACTAGGAATGTGTTGAAATATAATGTGATGAATCCTTGTAAAAAAAGGGAAATTGTATTGCCATATGAAGTCATCATGCTGGACAGCCAGCTACTTCTATTTAGCTTCTGTTTTCACAATAATCAGCCTCCTAAATATGAAATGAACAATAAACTACTACTGTTCTACTTAGTCTCTTTCACTTATTACAGTGTTGCATGTGTCTGTATTTGATGTATTGTCATGTGTGTGTGTGTGTGTGTGTGTGTGTGTCTGTGTGTTTTCGTTCAGGCTACCAAATTGAGGCCTTCAACAACCCTGCTGATTTCTTCATGGACATCACAAATGGAGAGGCAAAATCAACATTAGTGTCACTTACTGCAGGTACACCTACACACACACACACACAGTTTAGGTATATAGCACCAACAGAGGCTTTAGGCCTGTTTTTTGGTGATTTGTTAGTCTGAATACATCCATGTGTCCAAGTCATATTGGTTGTAATGTTAAAGTTTAAAATATAGACAATGAGATGACGTATTAAAAAAACCCACATAAGTTAGGGTCGGGAGGCGATACATTTAGCAAACCCAAGATAATGAAGATACTGACAAGAAGTCACAGAAGATGTCCTCCAAAAAGTGATTACAGCATTTGCAATTTTCTCAAAATGTCAAACTACTCCTTTAACCATATTTAGATTTTAGTCTAGACCCTAGACACCCTGAGGAGACTCAAAGACTGCTATATAAAGATAGAAGTTTATTCTATTGTCCGTATCTACAAAATGTCGATGCATAATGTCCTCTTTCCACTGTAGAGTGTAAAAATCCATTGGCAAACAAGTACCGCCAGTCCCAGCTGTGCCGGAATGTGCTCGATCAGTTGGAGCATGTGAACCAGAGCAACGCTGACGGGGCCAAAGGTCAAGACAAGGCAGCTGACTACGCTACCTCTTTCCTCTACCAGGTCAGCCAACGCCGCAATTCAGAAACACATTCAAACGTTGGATAAAACACTCTCTTCTTACATTCAAAAACTATACAAAATAAATATCCATTTGAGGGAATTAAAATCTCAGTTGCTATTCATTTTTTTGATTAACCCTGAAATTGAAATGAGTTTATGATGTTACGTCACAGAGTTTAATGACTGTGCCAGCCAGCTAAGTCAGTGTGTCCGCTGAATGGACCCTGTTTATAACTCTCATCATGTTCATAAAAAACAATTCATGTCTACGTGTGTGTGTGTGTGTGTGTGTGTGTGTGTGTGTGTGTGTGTGTGTG